TTAACAATAGCCACAACAGATAAAAATAGGAGGAGTCCATAACACCTAATAAAAATTCCTACACACGTACTGACAGAAAAGACCTTGGATGTGACAGGTGGCAGTCTATTTCTATAGCTGTAGACTTACGAGGATCACAAGTTCAGGACTTCCTGGGTTACAGAGAGAGTTCATGACCAGCCTGGGCTATATTACATCAAGTAATATGTGATACATAATGGAATATGATATCATAATGTTTATAAATATATTACATTATGTATCTTAAAGGAAAAAAGGATAGTCAAAATTTTTTCAGAAAAAAACAACACAAATAGCCAAGAATATAATGAAAAGTTATGTGCGGGATATATGCCTATAATCCCAACACTCAAATTTAGAGGCAGGATCATCAGGAGTTCAAGGTTAGTAAGAATAAAAAAGAACTCAAATGAAGAATATAATGAAAACTGTTCAACCTCAATAGAAAAGCAAATTCAAGTTAAATGGCAGATCAGTAAAGGTTTTAATAACACCCAAAGGTTGTGGGAGATTTGTACACTGTGTGAAAATGTATTGCTGTGATTGGCGTAACAAAATAATGAATGGCCAATAGCTAGGAAGAGGTTAGGTGGGACTTCCCGGGACAGAGACGACTCTGGGAAGAAGAAAGTCAGAAACTCGAGGAGACACGAAGGAAGCAGGATGGGCAGTACACGACAGAACACAGATTAATAGAAATTGGTTAATTCAAGTCATAAGAGATAGTTAAAAACAAGTCTAAGCTGAGGCCAAGCTTTTATAATTAAAGTCTCCTTGTCATGATTTGGGAGCTGGCTGGTGGGACAGAGAAAGACTCATTACACAACAAATCCAGAATTTGTTAGAAGGGGTGCGAGAAATGATGTCACTCTAGTGACAGCTTTACTGTGACTGAAATGATGACAACTTAAACAGAGAAACTTGGGGCTGGGAAGATGCCCTGGCCAGCAGAAGGAGCTGAGTTTGATCCTCAAATGCATGTAAGAAAGCCAAACATGGTGGCACGGAGTTGTGAATCCCAGCAATGAAGAGGAGAAGTAGGCAGATGGCTGAGATCATTGGCAGTAGCCTGACCCAATCAGCATGCTCCAGGCCCAAAAGGGGCCAATGGTGCCTAAAGTACCGTACTCAAGAATGACCTCTGGTCTCAGCACACATGTACACATATACATACACATTGTATCTGGACACATGAACACACACACTAATAAATGTAAAGACACACAGGAAAAAAAGAATTAACCTGTGTTATTTATGACAGACCCACTTAAATAGAAGCTAATTATTTAAATACTCATTTACCTAATGTGCTTAAGAATCCAAAGACAAATGAGGCATAAGCCTTACTTCAAACTATTAGTGTCAATTTTACACAGGGCCAGGGAAGAATTGGGGCCACTCCAGGGTGGATTTGGACTTAGCAGCGCAGCAGGGGAGCCAGTTTCTGGTGAACTGACTGTCCGTTGCCTCACAAACGGCCTTTTCTGTTGTTGTACAATTTACACCTTAGCAATTTCTGCACACCAACACCTTTAATCTGGAGTCGCTTGAAGGGACCAAATGCCCAAGCAATTCTCAGTTTTCCAAGTCCTCTCATAGCTAAATTTTGCAAAGGCCTTGAACCCTTCTGGAAGAACTCAGATGAGATTCAAACACCTCAAACAAACGGTATCAATAATAAAGGTAACATCACAAAAGGCAGTTCAAAGCCTAAGTGCTAACACTCCGGAATCCAAGGTAGATGCAATGCTCTGCGGGATCTCCGCTATGTATGAGAATTGTAAATCCCCACATTTGCAGACAGGTGAAGCTGGCACTGTATTAGCCCCCTTGGTCAATACTGTGACGAACATCTGACAAGGGTGGCTTAAGGAAGAAAGGGTTTAACTAACAATCTGAGGGGACTGTTCCATTCGGGTGAGGGAGTCATGGAGGCAGGACTGTGAGCAGCTGGTCACGTGGCATCCACAGTCAGGAAGCAGACAGGGATGAACGCTGCTGCTCAACCTGTTTCTCCCTGTTCTGTGCTTTGGAACCCATAGGGTGGTCCCATTTAGGGTCAGTGTTTTCAGTAAATTAAACCCTTCACACATATGTCATAGGTGATTTTAGGGCCTGTCAAATTGATGAGAGAAACCATCACAGTCAGGCTGTCTTGAGAACTGGGTTTCTTATATGCTGCTCTGTGCTGACTAGTTTTATGTCAACTTGACACAAGCTAGAGTCCTCAAAGAGGAAGAAGCCTTAGTTGAGAAAATGCCTGCATAAGATCAGGCTGCAGGCAAGTCTTTAGGACATTTTCACAATTAGTGATTGATGGGGAAGGGCCCAGCCCCTCATAGCTGGTGCCATCCCTGGGCTGGTGGTCCTGGGTTCAATTAGAAAGCAGGCTAAGTAAGCCATGAGAAGCGAGCCAGTAAGCAGCACCCCTCCAAGGCCTCTAAATCAGCTCCTGCCTCCAGGTTCCTGTACTGTTTTGAGTTCCTGCCTGACTTCCTTCAGTGATCAACAACGTGCTTTTGGTCATGGTGTTACATCGCAGTCCTAAGACATGGCTCTATAAAAACACTGCCCAAGATGGCCCAGAACATAGGAAAGTCTAAACTGCAGTGTTCTCTTCTTGTAGTAATTGCTTTTTAGTAATGGTAAAATATCATGACCATGATAACCTATAGAAAGAAGAGTTTATTTGGACTCATGGTTCCAGAGGGCTAATCTATAATGGTGGGAGGCGTGGCAACAGATGTGCAGACCAGAAAACTGAGAGATCACACCTCAGCCTCACAGAAGAAGCTAAAAGAGTGGCCTGCAAGGCTATATAAACTCTCAAAGCCCACCGCCAATGACATACTTCCTCTCGCAAGACTTGATGTTCTAAAAGTTCCATAACCTCCCCATAAACAGTGCCAGCATCATTGGACAAGTGTTTCCATTCATGCTCTTACAGGAGACATTTCTCATTCAAGTCCTCACAAATTCCTGCACTGCAAACCTTTCTGTAATCCCCTAAAGGACATGGAAAAGGCTTTCTTCATTAGGTACCTCCACTATTGGGTCTTCATTACCCCTCAAGCTGTACTGTTAGTGTTGGCCATCACCTGTCAGTATCCTTGCAGTGCTGACCTCCAGTGCAGAGCCTGAATTCCTCTTTAAATCCCAGAACGCTCAGAATGAGACTTGGTTTACAGAGTATTCACTTGGCTGGAAAATGTTTCGCACCTGCAACTCACACCCTTGCAAGCACTTGTCTTTAATGAGTTCAAGTAATTCCTTGATGAGAATGGCAAGTCTGAGGCCTGCCTAAACTACACAGTGAGTCTGAGGGCTTCCAGATATACAGTGAGACTATCTCAAAACACCAACACCAACAACAACAGCAATAATAATAATAATAATAATAATAATAATAATAATAATTCCATGAAATCTGAAAGCAGCAAAATTCTTCAAAACGTGAAACCAAAGAATCCTAACTGCTAGCTCTCAACCGTAAAATGAATGGAAATTAAGCCAGCTCATAGGAAAGCAATGGTGAGACCTGAAGACCAACCCTGAATAGGCCGACTTTGACCCATCAACTCTGAGGCAGGCTAACTCCATCACAGGTCATCACAAAGAGGAAAGTGAGAAGATGGGCGTCTTTAGTCTTCTACGGTCATCGTCACAACCTAAAGCAGACAAGGAACAGGCACCAAAGCTGAAGAGATGGAGACACTAGAGCTGAGTGCTGCTCTAGATGTGAGATCAAAAACTGTTCCCATGACAAGATGGCAGGTCCTCGTGACCACTGCTCAGTGTTGTGTCTTGACCTGGTATTACTTCCCTTTTCCATCACAAAACGGCGGGAGGAATGAATGGGGTGCACAGATGTGGTCCAAAGGTACCCATTTAGAGAAGATGGCTTGAGAGCAGAGAGAAAGCACAGCTGGCTGTGCATGCGGGAAGCTGGACCCTCTGAATGAGAGTCATCATTGCTAGGGCTCAGAGCACAGGAAACTTTGCTCGTTTGTTTCATTTTCACATTTCTTCCTATCTATCTACCTACCTATATTGATGTAGGTGGGTCTTCTAATCTATCTGTGGCTTTCATTGGGTTAATTAATAAAGAAAACTGCTTGACCTGATAGGTCAGAACATAGGTAGGTGGGGAAGACAGAACAGAATGCTGGGAGAAAGAAGGCAGTGAGGCAGACGCTATAGCTCTCCTCTCCAAGATGGATGCAGGTTAAGATTCTTCCCGGTAAGCCACCACCTCGTGGTGCTACACAAATTATTAGAAATTGGTTAATCAAGATGTGAGAATTAGCCAATAAGAGGCTGAAACTAATGGGCCAAGCAGTGTTTAAATGAATACAGTTTCCATGTAATTATTTTGGGTAAAGCTAGCCGCGCCATCCGCAGCTCCTTCTACACCTATATATTATCTATCTATAACTAATTTGTGTGTGTGTACACATGCATTCGTGTGCACATACACACACGCACTTGCGTGGCACAGAAAACATATGGAGATCAGAGAACAATATGTGAGAGTTGTCTCTCCTTCTACCATGTGAGCCCCGGGAATCAAACTGTTCTATAATCAAGCTGTCAGGCTTGGTAGCAGCATCTTTACTACTGAGCCAGGTACCTCTCCAACTCCACTGTTTTCTCATAATGTCGTTTTTTTCCCTAAATGGTACTAATAATGTCCACAATGAATTCTAGGGTTGCCTCCTGCCATCTTAATAGAGGAGTCGCTATGCACATCCTCTTCGTGGATCTATTTCCTGTTTGGGTCTCCGCAGCTAATGTTGCATCTTCCTGCATGTCACTGGGCTAAATGCTTTAAGCTGATGAATAAACACAAGAGAAGCTCCATCAATGTCCCCAGGATAAGGAATCTCAAGTGCTCATAGCACAATTAATAAGAGGCAAAACCCGGGTCTCAGGCCTGGGCTGATTAATGTGAGACACCAGTCGTGCAAAGTCACACTCACCTGCCCCATCAGGTGTGATGGTGCCCAGCTTCACGGCCAGAGGATAGCCCATGTCTCTGAAATGTTCCAGAGCGTGGCCATTGCCCCCTGCGCTGTCGAAAAACCACTTCCCACACAGAACAGAGCCGTCGGTCAGATTCAGCCAGAGGTTTTCCCGCAGGTCGCATCGGGCACACTTCCAGCCACTGGAAAGTCATGAGAGAGAACAGTCAGAAGAGCTAGCACATCAAGAAAACATTGACATGCTAAAAATGAACAGCGCCTCCTACTGGCAGCACTTCCCTGGATTCTCACCCCAGGATATTACTGCTCCCCATCCAGAGCAAGGGACCATCCATCCAGCGCCTTGCCTGCCACCCAGACGGGGCCAGAGACTATCAGTACCTCCAACATGGCTCTTTAGAAAACTGGCACATTATACAAAGGCAAAAGAGGCCATGTCCTCCAGGCTGCCACTTGCTGGACAGTGGCTCCTGAACAGAGTACGAACATGGAGGATCCCACATGCAAGACATTTCCAAAGCATTACCCACACATGGTCAAATTGATGTGGGTTAAGACTATGCAATAGTCCAACTTGGGCCTATCCCAGGAAGATGTATACATTAAAGGCACAGCCCTCAGTGTGGTATTATGAAGCCAGCATAGTTTGGGAGTGAACATAATGTACCTGTGTAACACCTGTCTAGGTATTTATGTCTGGGGATATCGGTATAGTCAGCTCTGGTCAAAGAGGCTTCTCGTTGCAGTGGGCAGCAGGGACTACAAAGACTAAAAACCAACACACATGCTGAAAACGCATACCTGGGAATTCTACATCACCCCCTCTAGGGCTCAGAAACTGCAAAAAGATGAGAGGTGCAGCGTTGTGGGACTCGGTCCACTGGGCATGACACAGCCAATGCACTTTTGAAGTCACAGTGGCTGTGACAAGATTGGGCCCATTCCTGCATTCAGTAGGAAGGTGTTTAGGAGGCCTGCCCCTCCCTGAAAACTTATAAGCAATTATTGGTTGCTCGGGAATGGAAAGCCATTTTCTTCAGTGGCGTACTCATTGCTGAGGTTCCCTCGCTCCCATAAATAACCCTTCACCCATGCTCCTCTAAACAGCCTTGATTAAACTCATGGAGCCCCAAAAGAGGAGGCATTAAAGCAGAAGGGACCGGTCTAGAGGAGGAGGGGGATCCACGGGAATGGTAGGAGGGTGGGAGAGGGATACAGGAGTGAACGTGAGCAAACCAGTTACACATATGTGTTACACACATGTATGAAGACATCATAACCTTGTGGCTAGTCTTTATGTCAACTGACAGAGGTTTTTTTTTATGTTCATTCTTTTTATTTTGATGCCATAAATTGTTCACAACAAAATAAGAAAACTATTCAGGAATGGGAAAGAAAAGCAGGTAGGTTAATAAGTAAATAAGATAATTAGCTGCTACTTTGCAAACAAATTAATAAACAATTGAAATTAGGAGAAATAAATTTATCATTCTTTGTTATGAATCAGTATTTTAAACCCTATGTTTTGATGATTGAATGATAATTTCTACAATGCAGACTGCTCAAATGTTACTTCACTCATAGAAACATTACCTTAATCTCTTAATATCATCACAGTAGTATAGGGCTATTGCCTGGCTATTTTCTTTTCTTTTTAATGCAGGTTTATTAATGTTGTATTTTGAGCTTTCTTTGTTATTTGATGTAAATCTTTTTTTCCATTTTTTTTATTTTTTTTATTTATTTATTAAAGATTTCTGTCTCTTCCCCACCGCCGCCTCCCATTTCCCTCCCCCTCCCCCAAACAAGACCCCCTCCCTCATCAGCCCAAAGAGCAATCAGGGTTCCCTGCCCTGTGGGAAGTCCAAGGCCCACCCACCTCCATCCAGGTCTAGTAAGATGAGCATCCAAACTGCCTAGGCTCCCACAAAGCCAATACGTGCAGTAGGACCAAAAACCTATTGCCATTGTTCTTGAGGTCTCAGTAGTCCTCATTGTCCACTATGTTCAGCAAGACCGGTTTTAACCCAGGCTTTTTCAGACCCAGGCTGGCTGGCCTTGGTGAGTTCCCAATAGAACATCCCCATTGTCTCAGTGTGTGGGTGCACCCCTCGCGGTCCTGAGTTCCTTGCTTGTGCTCTCTCTCCTTCTGCTCCTGATTTGGACCTTGAGATTTCAGTCCGGTGCTTGACAGAGGTTTTTTGGAAGACAGAATTTTAAAAAAAAAAAAATTCAATTAAAAAAATGCCTCCATAAGATTGGTCTGCGGGCAAACATGGAAGGTGTTTTCTTGATTGATGGCTGGTGTGGGAGGGCCTAACTCACTGCAGGTGGTACCATCCCTGGTCCTGGAGTGTATAAGAAAGGAGGCTGGGCAAGACTTGAGGAGCAAGCCAGTAAGCAGCATCTCCCTTCCTGCATCCAGGTTCCAGCCTTGCTTGGGTTCCTGCCCTGACTTTCCTCAGTGAACTGTTAACTGGAAGGATAAGATGAAATAAACCCTTTCTTCCACAAGTCACTTTTGGTCATGGTGTTTTACCACAGAAAAAAGGACTAATCTAAAACAACAATGAAACATGAAACCTTATTATGTATTAAAAATTAAACATCATTAAAATAAACATTAAATTATTGCTGGTTATTAATAAAAAACATTATTGTGTATAATTAATATACTTTAAAGAAGTATAGCTGAAGAGAAAGTTTTGGATTTATTGAGGGTACTTTTTATTTTTAAGTTTTATTTACTTTTATTATGTTATGTGTACAGGTGTTTTGCCTGCATGTATGCAAGTGTACTGTGTATGTGCACGGTGCCAGTGGAAGACAGAAGAGAGCACAGGATCCCCTAGAACTGGAGTTACAGACAGTTTTAAGTTTCCATGTGGGTTCTGGGAACCAAACCTGGGTCCTCTGCACGAGCAGCAAGTGCTCTTAACCGCTGAGCCACCTCTTCAGCACCCATTGGGAAACACTTTCAAAGGGAACATTAGAGCTCAGGACCCCCTCTTCTCTTTCCTTTCATCCAAACATTAGAGCTCGGGACCCCTTTTCTCTCTCCTTTCAGCCCACCCTGAGCTAAACAGTCCGTACCACCACAGGTTCCCCCACGGTACCTGGATCATCACTGACTAAAGACAATCACAAGTGATGCCATGGGCCAGCTAACCATGATGCCTCCAAAACCACGAGCAAAGACCAATGCTCCTCCATTAACGGTTGATCTAGCTCAGGCATTTGCTATAAAAGATGACTGACATACCTATTCCAATTCTAAATTAAGAAAGTAAGTGGCCCAAACTGAATGCTAAATTTCAGTTATGGGTCACATAGCTAGCAGAAAGTCCATCTAATTCTAGAAAATTCTGCTCAGGGTTAGTGTCACAATCCTTTCTACAGAGGGAGGAAACGAGGCCCAGAAGTGATGTGACTTCTCCAAAACTACAACAGACAGCAGTGTGGTCACAGGTCGCTGAAACTGGACATACTCCTAAGCACCATCTGCTCTTTCCCTCGGAGATCTGCCTTCAGGGATGTTCCTGCATCCCAAAGAGCACTCTGGCCTACTGCCAGAGTCAGATCACCTAGTATGAACTCTGACACATAGATCTGGATGTGTGCAGCTGATCCCAGCAGAACGGGGAAGAAAAGGGAGAAGCCAGCACAAGTTTTGTCACCAAGTGACTATCACACAGACTTGGAGCCTGATGAGAAACTGCAGGGGATGTCTTCCCCAAGGCAGCAGGAGACTGAGTGCTGACTCACCCCTCTACCGCCGGCGTGAGGTCCTAGAGGACAACAGCTTCAACTGGCATGTCCGACCATCCCACACACTGCGGAGGCGGTGTTGCCGAGTGTAAGGTCCCTGTGCAGAGCTGCACGTGTGTGCAAGCACCAGCCTCGCTGCAGGACAGAGCCTGGGCTTAGGCTTAGGCCTGAGAGCCCGGCACCAGCTGCAAAGGTCCAGGCATGTCCAGGAGGAAGTTTTTTTATCTATGTTGTGTTCTTTCTTCTTTCTTTTGTAGAATGATTGTTAAAGTTAGCATACAAAATGGTGGGTCTCATTAGGACACTCCATGCATGTGGGTCATCATAGTCAGCTCTAACAAGTCTTCCTCCACAGCCCCCCATGCCCACACTTCTCCCCCTCTGTTTTCATATCATATGTGCCCCATTGTCCTCTTTTACTCTGTCACTTAAGACCTCTTCCTGTCATCATGATCCCCTTCCAAGTTTCATGATCTGTACATACACAACATATATGTACATACGTGTATATGTGTGTAAACACTTAAACAGCTTTAAATCTAAGTACATATATGAGAGAAAAAATGGATTTTGTCTTTCAGAGCCTGACTTGTTTCTATTAACAATTTCTGGTTTTTATTGAACTCATTTTAAAAAGCATCTGCTATGAAAATATAATACTGCTAATTCAGAGAAAAGGTAGAAAATCAGAAGTTGCTTCGACCAGTTTGGGGGGGGGGGGGGAGCTAAGGTTCCATTTCGCTGGCAGACTCTCACCTGGGAGGAACCCTGACCCCGTTGTCCAGCTGGGCGAGGTTGTTGGCATACTTCGATACCGGCAGTTCATTTTCCCACGTGTCGGGGTCCTGCTTCCTGTATGGCGACTTCGAGCTGAGCACTGCATCACAGGCGATCGTTACCTAGGAGACAAAGCCAGGTACTAAAAACTCAGCTTCCAGAAGCGAACACAGAAGCTTACTTAGAAATGCAGCAGCCTCACTGCGGAAATTCAATCACCACAGTGAGGTCCATTTCCCCCCAGTCTACCTAGGTTTGGCCCAGGCATGGAGCTCGGGGTACTGCCGATGACATGAGAACACGGAAGAAGATTCCACTCATAGCTCAAGCTTAGCATTCACACGGAATCATCCCTATCACTTAGCAAGTGGGGTGAAAAGGGTGAGGGAGCAAGTTATGAACAGGAATGCCCAGAATCTGCCCGAGGGCTGTGTTTCCTCCTAATGTACCAAGATATCCAATATCCTCAACTCACGCGGCAAGGGGTCAAGGGCACTTTGAATGGAACGGACACAGTCCAGCTCTTCTTAGTCTGACACAGACATGAGGCTGGCAGAGGACATGCCTGGGTGTCTCTGTGCTACATGGGTCCACTCACAAGCAGATGTGTGGCGCCCGCTGGGTGCCCTCTGCTTTCTCTCAACGCGCGTGCGTCTAAGGCTGCAAGCTAATCCCTAGCTCGTGGAAAACGTAAATTCTGCTGGAGAGTCACAGCACGGCCACTTTGAAAACAGTCCAGCCGTTCTTCCAATGATCAAACAGTGGTCGCAGGACGCGGCAGATGAACAGCTAGAGAGACATCCAAGGGACAGGAAAATGTAGTTACAAGAGGACGGAGTAAGACAGAGCTGTTACAAAGCTGATTTGGTTACAAAACGAAAGCTGCCCAAATGCCTAGCAATGATCAATAGAATGAAAAACCAAAGTGGAATTTTATTTGGTAATAAAAAGAAACAGGACTCCAATATAAGATGCAGTGTGAATTCTGGGAAATGTATGCAGAGTGGGAAAAAAAAAGCCAATCACATTCTTTGGGGCCCCAGAAAGCTTAGTCCTGTGAGCACAGGCATGCGTGGATAGTTAGACCTTCAACATGGGCACCCCTACCCATCCGTCATGGATACACCCTACCGTGAGCTGTGCTGTCAATCATCACAGGGCATCTCCCACCTCCTGGCAGAGTCCATGCCTGGACCTGACAGCCTAAGCATCGCACCCCGGCAGCCAACATCCTCAATGCAGCTTCCCATCCCCAGCAGCTGCCTGGGTCATGCTCCACCCCGCTAGGCACTTTCTCCACACACCACACACGCATCACTGACAGGGGTTTTGACATTCAAGAGTCAGATAAAACTTCTTTTCTTTGAATTTCTTTTCAGGCGACAGCCAACAAAATTTCCTCAGGCCCCTGGGGCGGCCATAAAACTCTGGCCTGGTGTCTTCCAAAATCATCGTTTTCATGGGTCATGGCTGAGGTCAGGCTGATGATCCTATACCTACACCAAGTTCGTTCCCCTTGAGTTGATGCTGGATTGAAGTGAGGAGACCTGGACTCCACCTCTACTCTCAGAGGCCTCAAATCCAGTGCTTCCCAGGAACTGGTTCAAACCCAACCCCTGAGAATTGATTGTTCAGTTTTAAGAAATTCAGCATTGTCCCTATATTTGTCACAGTGCTGGTCACTACAGCCAAGAAAAGAGGACACACTAAGTGTCATCAACTGCTGGCTGGAGACAGTGTGATGCCTACACACAACGGAACGCTGTGTATCGAGGACAGTTAGTGAGATCCCACCATTTGCAACATCACAGATAAAACTGAAGACCGTTATGTTGAGTGCAGTCAGCCAGGCACAGAAAGACAAGTACCACGTGTTCTCACTCACGTGTGGAACATTACAAAGTTAGTCCCATTAAGTTTAGTAGTCTGGTGGTTACCTCGAGCTAGGGAGGGGATCGAGCGGGAGAGATGAAAGTTGGCTATGTAAGGGAACTCTTGGTACCCAAACACAGTGCATTTTCATACATCACAAAGGATTCTGGATGCTTTCACCAGAAAGATGTTACGTGTTGGAGAGGATAGATCCGAATCCCAGAACGCAACCCAGGAGTCATGAGGACTGACATGGCACACAGCCTAGGCTAGGGGGCATGGACCTGTCTCAGAGCAGAACAAAACAAAAGGCCATGGCACAGTGTAATCAACACTCTGCCAGCGAGCCACACCCTAGCCCTAAGATTATGTTCGTATATATCAAGTAATTAGGAAAGGAAAGGAAAAATTAAGAAATTCTGCTAGACACCTGCTAAACACAATCATTCTTAAAATCAATTACCTCACAATAATTACCCTTGAGAGGCCACGTATTCAAGCTCCGGTCCTTCCTCGTTGCTTGACTGTTACTTTCAGTCACCTCTGTCTACGCTCCTGATGTTCTGACATCTGTGTTAGCTGAGTGTGGCAAATTCCAAACAGTAGTCTTTCTTCCAGCACACCCAGGGACCTCGTGGTTGGGCTGGAGTCAGCTATGATGGGGTCTACTGTGGCAATCAGCAAGCTCGGGGCAGCCTGCTCCACCCAGAGCTGTTGAGCAGGACAAACGCCCCACTATCGGAGCTCCAGATGCCAGGCTCTGGGGTCCCCCCTGTGAGCCCGTCCACTCAGAGGTCGTCTGCCTCTCTGATGGGACTCGGGGTAACTCAGAATGCCCTGTGGTGACACACGCAAGAGACCTTAAACACTCTTTTTAGACTAAGCATTTTCTTTTTATTTAAAAGTTCAAAAGAAAGTCCTCAAACACTAAAAACATAGCAAATGCATGTAAAGAAGAACTGACTAAACTCTTGGGTGTAGCTAAAGCCCACGACTAGTACCAGGGTTGCAAACCAGGGTTGAGGTTTCTTCTCAAGTAGCTTGATTTCAGAGTTCTTTCGTTTTTCATTTTTGAAACCGTTTCTTAAAAAGACATTTTATTCAAATTTTCATTTTAAAGTATCCTCAAAGACTGTTACTAAAGATTTTGATGGATCTTGCTGGCTTGGGATTTGTAGGGCGTGTCCTTACATCTTTGAGCTTACTCTCTGAATAAAAGGATGTTTCAACAGTAGCATATGGGGAATGGGTCTTTGTCTTTTGAGTTTTGGTTTGGGTTGGTGGGGTTTTTTGTTTTATTTTGGTTTGGTTTTTGTTGCTTGTTTGTTTGTTTGTTTGTTTGAGACAGGATCTTACTCTGCAGTACCGAATTCCTAGCCATCCTCCTGTTTCAGCTCCCTTGTGCTGGATTACAAGCATCACTCACTGGGGCTGGTTTGAGGCTTTTTCTTCATATTTACATTTTTCCACACAGAAACCTTCACATAATAACAATACGCTTCTTTGCTTCCCTTCCCACAGTAAAACCAGGATTATATTGAGCTGGAGCAATAAGAACTCTCAGCGTTGGAGCTGGAGAGACGGCTCAGGGTTAAGGACTCCAGTTCAATCCCCAGCACGCACATGGCAGCTAACAACTATGTAACTCCAGTTCCAGGGGGTCTGACACCCTCATACATACATGCAGGCAAAACACCAATGCACATAAAATAAATATAACAGCACTCTCAGCCTTAGAGATGCAAGCGTTGGTGCACTTCAGGTTAAGACCATTTTATCCACTAATGTATTTTATTCCTGGTAACAGCCATATGAGTCAACACGGGAAATCCGAGAAAGCAACAGTAATTTCATTTCCACAAGCCTCACTGAACACCTCATATGGAAAAGGATGCCTTACATTTAGTAAGTGGGAGGGCTGCAGCCGACAGATGCACGGCGCTTTGACTTCTATGGTCTTAAATTTAGCTATGTGATAGATCAGAAGAAAATAGGTTATGTGAGAAACCTAGTCCCTCTGAACATGGAAATGCTAAGCACAAACATCCCCTTTGGGCAGGAGCAACTGAGTAGATAGTTCTTGCTGGTTAGGGTCCGTCAGAAGGTTCTGGGACCCCCCAGGCCGGGCTTTGGCTCTGGCAGAGTCTGAAGAGGGCAAAATGAACTGGCATGTCTAAATTAACCCACCTTGCCCCCACTGCCCTCTGGAACCAGGCTGTAGGAAACAGAAGTATTCGTTCAGAAGGGGACAGACTGTTGGAAGCCACACAGGAAGCCAGGGAGAAGCAAGAAGGACATCATGCACCACAGCAGTCCTGTGACCTCTCTGAGGACTCTAGAATCAAATGCAATAGGCAGCTTCCCCACCCTGCCACCAGACCAGCACCTGGTTTCTCCAGGAAAAGCAAGACCTTTCCCTGAAACTGACTCCGAGAAGATGCAAGAAAAAAGAAGGGAGAGGGGGTAGGGTGAGCTCACTACCAAAAATCTGAAAGAGTCATCTTAGTTCTCGGAGGAGCAAAGCTGAGGTGAGTGTGTCTCCCCCAGGCTCCCCAGGCCGGGCTGTAAGAGCAGTTGGTTCTTTTTATAACTGTGCTGCTGCCGCTGGCCCAACAGGCAAACTCTTCCAGTCTTCAAACAAAATCTTACACAGAAAGGCAGCGTGAAAACCTGACAAACACACCGCCATCCCTCCAACCAAAACAGTCCCTCTCCAGCTGTCCCAGCAGCTGTGAGGTGCAGTCTTTGACAATCCCAGCAAAGACACAGGAGCCAGCCCAGTCTAGAGGAGCCCAGCCATGGGCAAAGAAAACCCAGTAGAGATGGGGGTCGGGCAGCAATAAAGAAAGGCCACTCTGTGAGACCTCAGAGGAGATAGATGCTCCTGTTCACACTATTTTTATTTATTTGTTTGGGAGTTCTGTTTTGTTTTGTTTTTGAGACAGGGCTCATTATGAGGCTCTAAGTGGCCTTGAACTATTTAGCCCAGGCTAGCTTCAATCTCACAATTCTCCTGCTTCAGCATCCTTAGTGCTGGGATCACAATCATGTGCCCCCACACCCAGCTTTTGCTCCATTTTATCCTCTTCCTCTGGACCAGCCTTCCCCACCCCACCCCACCACACACACACACACACACACACAGAGGACATACAGCCATGTGCACACACAGTCAAATGCACGCTCAAACACACACACCTGACATACAGCTACATGCACACTCACACAACTTGACACAGTCATGTGCACACTCACACACACATATTTGACACACAGCCACATACACACATGCACACGCGCGCACACACACACACACACACACACACACACACACACATGACACACAGCCATGTGCATGCTCACTGACCAGGGCTGGCAACTCCTCGATGTTTGGAAGGGCTATTTCATAGTGGTCTGGGAATATAACAAGTTTGGCTTCGTCTTCATATTCATAATCGTCACTATTTAAGTCATCATCCATATCCAGATCTGAGGAGAGAATAAAAACAAAGAAAAGAAGTGAGGAAAGGGAGGTCCAAACCAGTGCAACCCTCACAGGGAATCCACAGGCTTAACACACAGGATCCGACCCTGACAGAAAGGACCATCCTGCTGCCCCACACCGGAAGACACAGACCCTGCCATCTTTCCTAAAAGGTGCATATTTGTACATCAATGACTGTGTCACATCATAAAGCCTCACAGAATGGGCATACATGCTAAAAACAGAATTATAGGCTTTAAAGAAACAGATGTTTCCACTAAGAGTTTAGGGCCATAATTTCAGAAGAACAAAGGAAACAAATTATGTATGTGCACATGCCTGTGTGTGTCTGTATCTCTCTCTCTCTCTCTCTCTCTCTCTCTCTCTCTCTCTCTCGGTGTGTGTGTGTGTGTGTGTGTGTGTGTGTGTGTGTGTGTGTGTGTGTGTGAAGGCCAAAGGTCAACCTCAGGTATCATTCCTCAGGAGTCATCCATCTTGTATTTTGAGAGAAGGTCTCTCACTAGCATGAAGCTCACAGATTCAGCGAGATCAGCTGGCCAGTGAGCCCTAGAAATCTGCCTGTTTTGGCCTTCCCAGTGCCGGATTACAAGCATATATCACACACCCATGGGGATGGCAGGGTCTGGGGACCAATCAGGGTCCCCGGGCTTGCAAAGCAAGCCCTTTATTAACTGAGCCACTTTCCCTGTCCAGAAGAAGCACACTGAGAGTGGTGAAGCTGGCTTTGATGCTGGTCCACATTTACTGTAACTTTAAGCAAGTCACAGACTCTAACCTTTGCACTTTCATCATGTTCAGCGTGGAAAGGGATGCACTCCTCTTACAGAAGAGAGAAATGAGACGTGGCAGAGAAGAGACCCAGCGCAAGGTAGGTCTCCAGTAAGCAGTGGCTGTTGTTTAGGAATCCACCCCATCTCCCTCATTGCCTCTCCTTCTCTCTGTTCTCCCACCTCGAATAGTGGTTGAAATCTCGAAAGACAGAAGGGACCCATTATGTGAGCAGTCCTGTTGTCCTAGGGCCTAGCGAATTCTCTGTAAATACAACAGGCTTCTGGCCAACCCTCTGCCAGGCCACCCTCTGTGCTTGGCTCCTCGCTGGTAAAGGTTAGATGACAGCCCAAGGAGATGTTTGGTCATAATATTTACATGGACAGCGCAGCCTTGTTCTCACAGGGATGTCAGCGGCCCAGGTCATGTTTGTGTTTATATGTTTGGGACTATGGTGACAAAAAAGTCAAGTGATGTTCCACTCACAGGCAGAGTCACACAAACAAACAGACCCAGTGGGCAGAAGAGAATGACTAGGCGGCAGCAGGCACCCGAGAACCAAGGATCTAAACCCTATCACTACCTTTCATGAAGCGTTGCCCTACTTTCATGTGTAGCTCTGCTTTTCACTCTCAAAAGCAGGACCCTTTTAAGTAAAACGTAAGACACAGCAAAACATAACCCAAACATAATCAAAGGCTCTAAATCCTAAGATTCAGAAACACCAAAATAATGACCGCCCACGTGACAGATTACTAACTTAACAAGGCGGTCCCAGAGGAGACGGGCAGTTTAGGAAACAACCAGCTGGCCTGGGTCTGAAAAAGCCCGGGTTAAAACCGGTCTCGCTGAACATAGCGGACAATGAGGACTACTGAGACCTCAAGAACAGTGGCAATAGGTTTTTGATCCTACTGCACCTATTGGTTTTGTGGGAGCCTAGGCAGTTTCGTGGATGCTCACCTTACTAGACCTGGATGGAGGTGGGTGGTCCTTGGACTTCCCACAGGGCAGGGAACCCTGATTGCTCTTTGGGCTGACGAGGGAGGGGGACTTGATTGGGGGAGGGAAAGGGGAGGCGGCGGTGGGGAAGAGACAGAAATCTTTAATAAATAAATAAATAATAAATAAATAAATAAATAAATAAATAAATAAATAAATAGAAACTTAAAGGGAAAGCCTCCACTATGGTGAGTTTGAGAGTCTCAAGAAACTGAAACGGCAGTAACAACAGGGTCAAATTGTTCAATGATTTCTACATCCATTGCTGAGATCGTTTAACTCACAAAAAGTCACTTTCTAGATAACAGCGCAGGCGCTTGGGAGACCAGTCACTCAAGCACGGCCATGAGCCTGACCCTTTCAGCCCAGGTGCTCATTCTAGGCTATTCTCTGGTGGCTTCGTCTGTCTGATTGGTAGGTGGGGCTGAGGCACAGGGTGAGCTGAGCCAATGAGAAGGTTGCCAGTGAAGCAAAGCTACTCCCAAGAATCTTGAGGTGACTCTTCTGAAGAAAACCACAGCTGGGGAGCTGGAGGGAAGACACCCTGGGTGGCACACAGTGCTGAGGACCAAGCATAGAAGCACAGCTAGTTTCACGGCTGCTTCAATGGCTTCCCTTCTCAAAGAGTTCATGTGTCTGTTCTTTGTGTGTGTGGTGATTGTATGTCTATGTGTTTGTACATTCACACATGTGTGTGAACATACATGTTTTCACATGTAAGGTGAAAGCCAGGGATTGACATGGAGTGTCTTTCTTGATCACTCTCAACCTTATTTGGGGAGGCAGGGGAGGGGATGGACAGGGTCTTATTAGTTCAGCTAGGCTGGCTGGACAATGTGCTCCAGGGATTAGCCACCCTCTCTGCGTTCCCTGCATGCATGTGCTACCACACCTGATATTTATGTAGTTGTGGTTGCTGAGGATCCAAACTCAAGCTCTCATGTGTGCACGGCAGGCCACAGGACCAAATGAGCCACCCCCATCTCTGTCTCTTTTCATTACAGTGGCAGAGAAAAGCTAGCGGGATGTGGTGATGCGCACAGTGGTCCCACTACTTAAAGAGGCTGAGATGGGAAGATCTCCTACGCAGAGCGGAGGAATTCCAGGCCAGCCTGGGCCACAGAGCAAGACTATAGCTTCAGCAAACAAAAGATGTAAATAAGGATAAGCAAAAAGAAAACCAGAATCAGGCCCTTCTTAGCCTAAGAAAAGAGCTACTACTGTTAGCAATCTGTAGTATGTTCTCCTACACACTGCCAGGTTTCAATCAAATATGTGCACGTGTGTGTATTATACACACACATGTGCCTACATCCACATAAGTGCAGATACATACATACATATATACATATACATATATATACATACACAAATATAGAGGCATGCATGCATGCATACACTTATCCACATGTATACAATAGTGCGTTCAGATGTTTTTACAAATCTTAGGCTACTTATGTGATTTAGAAATCAGTGATCATTTGCATAAACAAGACTAGTTCTTCTTAATGAAGAATATCAAACAATCATTGTTGCAGGCCAGAACTAATAATGGGTGCTAAAAATTAGTAGGCCAACCCCATAGCTAATACCTCTGGGATGTCCCAGTGTGTGTGTTTTATTGTGTGTAGATGTAGGCGGTTATAATCCCTGTGTGGGAGGCAGAGACATGAGGGGTCCTGGGGCTAGTTGACAGTCAGTCTAACTGAATTGCTGAGCTCCAGGTTCAATGAGAGACTCTGTCCCAAAAAATAAGGTAGAGGGTAATAGACTCAACCACTGAACTACATGGGACAAGATGAGGAGAAGACAACACAGAAACAGAGATAGTGAGAGACAGAACAAGACACAGAAAGAGAGTCACAGACAGGAGACACACAGAAAGCAACCAAAAGCAGACAATAATTCCTTTCTAGCTGCCATAATTGCTTCAATGCCCAGGATCCGAATCCGTGCTCTAAGTACTCTTCTCTGCTAGGGAAATGGCAAAGAGAGACAGTGTTCAACCCGGCATCCCCATCCCTGCCCCTAGAAACAAGACAGAAAGACAGAATATAGCATGCACATGATTGGTAACTGTTTTACCTAAAAATAACTTGGAATTCCTCCTTTTGGGTAGTGCTCCAGCAGATGCTGCTCTTACCTTCTGAAAAGAAAACAACAGATCATTACAACACAGCCCATGAAACAGTCTGCTAACAAACTGTGTGGTCCACAGGTCCCCAGTTAAAGCCAAGAGGAAACGACCTCAATCCTTGCAGATGGGAGGAGGACCATTCTCTTGACCCTGTGGATTATTTTCACTGAGTTCTACAGGAATCCCTCTTGGAGAAGGAAGTTCAAGCCAGAGACAGAGATGAAGCCTGTTCTTAAACTTTGGTGGTCAGTGATCCCTCTTGGGAGACCTGGAGTCTAAGCTAAGGACAGATGTGAGCTACCTGTCCCCTTGCCTACACAAGGATTCTCGGTCCTTGGCCCTGGGTATGCTCAACACTAACTGTTCAAAGACTTATTACCTGTTGATATTCTGATCATCTGAGGAGGGGCACCCACAGGCAAGCTACCCCATGTCAAGCATCGTATGTCCGCCGCCATTGGGGGGAGTCCTCAGAAGCAGTGAGTGAGTTCCCATCAAATGGCTGGACAGTCCCAGCAAATATGATTGTAACAATTTCCTCTCACCATCTACTTTCATACCATGCATCTTCTGACTGTTAGAGAACACAGATCCGTTACATGCAGGGTCCACCCCATTCCTTTCTGCACAGTCACATGAGTCAGCCATGCTGTGCACCCAGTATTTCTTTTATTTTCCTCCTTACTTGTCTTAGGAGTCCTAAGCCTACTTCCCCGCCTTTTATTATTTGATACTGAAAGCCAACTCATTTTTGTAATATCATCTTTTTTTAATAGCTTCTACTATGGGTTTACAGTTCCCCTCATAGCAATCTCAAAACACTCAGCTCAAAAACATGGCTCTCCAAACTCAAGTGCCAACTGGATGTCTTCTGTTCTAGAATCCCTCTCCTGGTCAGGCGGTGGTGACACACGCCTTTAATACCAGCACTAGGGAGGCAGAGGCAGGTGGATCTCTGTGAGTTCGAGGCCAGCCTGCTCTACAGAACAAATTCCAGGACAGGCTCTAAAGCTACAGAGAAATCCTCTCTCAAGGGGGGAAAAAGGAAAAGAAAAAAATCCCTCTCTTCCATGATTCCAGAACCTCTGTCTCCTCCCCACCATTCACCTTCCTCAAATATAAGTTAATAAACAAAGTGAGCTATAGCAAAAGCAAAACCTGGACCAAAGATTCACTTCACATGGCCAGGGGCCACTTGTCTGTACAGACTGCTGCTGCGGTGTTCTTCCACCTCTATTTCTGCATGATAGAAGAGGAAATTGAAAAAGATGGTCTACAAATGTGGCCATCTACACGGAGCCTGGCTGGCAACTGTGTCTCTTCCAGATGTGGGTTCAAACCTTAGACTCAGATTAGAAGCACCCCCCGGAGGGGGAGAACAATGGGACTTCTTACTAAGGACCTTTGCTCCCTCCTAGGACAGGGTTCAAGCACTAAAACTCCTCCCTTAGCAATTAGCGCTGTGCCTGTTGTCAGGTTCTGTTTGTGAGAGCAAACACAAGGTTCTCCGGAAGAGCTCACCAGCACAGAAGGTACCTGAGTGCAGGCAGAAGGCAGGATAGATTCTGAGAAGTACTAAGAGAAGTCTAAGAGACCATACAATTAGTGGAGATGCTTGGTTTATCTGGAGGTAGAGGTATGATCAGGACTGATCATGTAAGAAGAACATTGGTCCTCAAATATAGAAAGTACTTAGTAATTGGAGGATCAGTAGATGAATGGATAAACTGATGGATAGATAGACAGATGGGTGGATATGTGGGCGGGTGGGTACACGGGTACGTGGGTGGATAGACAGACAGAAGGCTGGGTGCAAAGGGTGTATGGATGGGCAGAAGGGTAGGTGGGTGGTGGTAAAGCAGACAGATGGGTGGGTGTATGAATGGACAGATGGACAGGAGGGAGGGTAGGTATTTGGGTGGCTGGATCAGTAAAGAGACAGAGACAGACAGATAAATGGACAGCTGGATGGATCAATGGATGGATCAATGCATGGGTAGATGAATAGATATTTTTAACTGGAGAGACGACAACAGGAAAAAGAGAAGGAAGGATAGAAGTAGAGAAACACACATATACGTGTAGAGAACACAAGAACATGGGCACTAACTCATGGCACATTCCAGCAATAGCTATGTGGAGAACACACATTTAGTGCAGAAAGCAAGGGTTGAAAAGGCTGTGGGGCCCAATCATGAGCATCTTGTAACGACACTACAGGGCTCGGGGCTTTGGGCTGAAGGCACTGTGCATACGTTTAGAAAGATCACAGGGAGTGCACAGTCCAGGAGTGAGAGCCATACATTTCAAAGAAGGAAGATGAACCAGCAAGCTACAGGACAAGCCTACCCATGGAGGTACCTGGAGGAACACAGAGCACTAAGCCATGACAGCAGGGTTGGTGGAGACAGAGTAGACTTCAGAGCTGTGTGGGAAGTTCAGGTAACAAGACCTAAAAGGAAAACCTAAAAAAAAAAAAAAAAATCTGGCTTTCTGAAAGTCACAAAAAAGGACAGTGCTGGCAGGAAGGCTATCGTGTGTAGTATGACATGCTGAACCTGGGAAGCCTATGAAATCCTGAAAAAAAAAAATCCGAGGTCAGACTTGGATGGTCCAATCCAGTTCCAGGAAGCTATTGACTTGGAAGCGTACACTTAGAACAGCAAAACAAGGACATGGAGAACCCATGAAGACGAGCATCTTCTGAGAAAGAAGGTAGGCTGGCTGGCCAAATGGCAGCGGAGGAAGGGCAGGTGACTAATGACTGAGGGATGGAGGGGCATGAGCTTAAAAGACAGCCCGAAAAGAGAGAAGACAAGAAAGAATGATGCCAAAGAAAGAAGAGCAAGAAACAGTCTCAAATCTCCCTAGAGTGTAAATAATCTCAGACCTAAAATGCATCCCGCAGGTACGGCCACCAAGCTGTCCCTGACAAGCCAGGCACTTTTGGTGACCTGCTAGCAGCGACACTCAGTCAGATGCAGTCTTAGGCCCTCAGTCCTGAAGGGAGACACGGAGGTGGCTGGGAAAAGAGAAAAGTTTTTTAACTGCTTCAATTGAATATCAGAACCCAACTACAGCAGGATAGAAAGGAAACAGGCTGTTCTGTGGACTGTTCTATCGAAAGACTGGAGCAAAGAAGCCAGAGAAAGGAAAGCTGAATTAACCAGAGTGATTTCCCCAAAGCAGGAAGAATTGGGAGCACAAAGACAAGTGAATGTTATTTCTGTTGGGGTGAGGGGGAAAGGGACGAAAATCACAGGCAGCTTCCAGAAGGTGAGAAATAAGTCCCACGGGTGCAGTCATGGATCTCTGCAGAGACTCTGGAGAGTCCAGGTCACAACACAATGATGCATCGCTCTGCTAAGACCTGACAAAGCAGCCAGTGCTCAGTGACCACTCAGAGGAACGGGAGAGGACACAGCAAGTGAGGAGACCTAGCAAGAGCGTGAGGCCGGAACTCTGGTACTGCACTGCTAAGTTTCAGGACATTGTATCTCCTAACACACACACACACACACACACACACCTGCCTCAGAGGCTCATGAGCTATGATTGGTCCTTTGCATGGTATTGGATGATGGTGAGAACTTTAAAAATGAGGCAAATTGGAATATCAGGATCCATCCTCAGAAGGACTTAAGGAATTTCAACCTCTCTGGTGTCCTGTTTCATGTCACTTCCTCATACACACACTCTGCCACCTGTGAGCCCCCTGTGGGGCTCTTATCAGGACCTGTACAATGCTTTTGGGGTTTTCAGACCCCAAACAATGGGGTAAGTAAATCTCATTTCCTTATAAAGCTAGTCTGCCTCCTGACAGTAATACAAAACGGACTAGTATCATCCCAAAGCTCACAGTAGGGGAAGAGCCAGCATTTGCCCACGGAAGCTTCAATGCAGCAACTGGATAACATCTGGAGCATTGTTAAGAGACAGCTCAGGAGACTGTTGGGGAGACAGTGCTTTTAAGTCATGAGTCATAAGAGGCAAGCTGAGCAAGTGTCAGGCTAGAGGCCTGGAGCCCAGAGAACAGCAGATCAAAATAGGAACCCATGAGCCAAAGGGCAAAACTGAGGAGAGGCTGCTACCGAAGAGTGGAATGTCTAACTTAAACGCTTAGATGCAGACTTACACAAATGAGGGCACTGGCGGTCCACAATGCCACCACCAGCTCTCTGACCCAGAGAAAGCAGATTCTCTGGGCCTCCGTTTTTAACTTCACCACTTTACACTAAGATGTGAAACGAGGTCTTTGATCCATTTGGACTTGAGTTTTGTGCAAGGTGATAGATATGGGTCTAATTTCAATCTTTTACAGGTTGACATCCAGTTGTGCCAGCACCATTTGTTGAAGATGCTTTCTTTCTTCCATTGTATACTTTTAGCTCCTTTGTCGAAAATGAGGTGTTCATAGGTTTGGGGATTAAATTCCGGGTCTTCTATGCGATTCCATTGGTCGACTTCTCTGTTTTTATGCCAATACCACACT